CGGTGCTGAGGGCCAGGGTTTGGGGGTGGGATGGCAGGGGTAGGGGAACGGTTGGGCTGGGGGATCTGAAAGGTCTTTTGCAACCTAAAAGATTCTATGATATTTTAAGTTGGTTTATAATGGTTGATTAAGGATCACCCAAAAAGGAGGGTAATTTAAAAAATTTAAGCCCTATGTGAAAGCTATAAATTTAAACCACTTAAAATAATCATGCAAAACTTTGCAAGCTTTGTTTCACTTCGGTGTAAGCAATTTACCTTTAGAGCAAGAGGGAATTTTCAAAATATTTTCTCTTGAGAGAAGTTTTTTACAGGGACAGGAGAAAAACATTTATTTTCATCCTGTAATATTTAGATCTGAATAATTTCCAGCATACTGTCACAAGAGTAACATCTGAGAGAGATGTGGCTTTGGGTCAGAGATTTCTGGAGGAAGCCACTTTCTGCTGTTATTTCATGCTTCTTCATTGTGGTTGCTTCATGGGTTGAAGAATTGAATATTTTGAGGCTCTGATAATTTTTTTTTTTTACCTGGTTGCTTTAAGAAAAAACTTTTAATACAGTTTTTAGTGTTCTTCAGTCCATGTAAGGCATGATATGTTCCCACTGAAAGATGAAGCCTTGCGCTCTCCGCTTTGGGTACGCCTGGCTTTATTTTAGTATTTCCGCGGTACGCTGCACTCTGCCGCTATCTCAAGTAAATTGAAAATGTATCATTTGGTTTGAAATGTTACGCAGCAGTTAAGAAATGGATTTGTTAGTATGTACATAAGTGACAGTGATGAATGGACTGCGTTAGATGAGTAGATAGTAAATCTATCATCAGGTTCTGTGGGTAAAGCGTGGAAGATGTCTGGTACTATAAAACCATTCATCATCTTTATAGAAAGTGGCTACAGAAAGATTCGTTTGTAGAGAATTAATTGGTGCAGATCTCCATTAATAATAAAATAATCTTTAAAACCAGTTTTTAACTTGCATTTTGTCAAATATCTGCCTTTTCCTTCGTGCTGGTGCGGGTGGTTTCCAGTCAGCGGTACACCAGCAGCGGTCTCCCACCGTGCACTCACTCTGAATAATGTTGCCATTGCAGTCTCTCCGAAATACTCGTATCGTAGCTGTTATGTATGAAATTTATTGTTTAAGTCTTTTTGGCATTTGGCTGCTTCCTCTGGTTGCTGGAGCTGACTGTGAGATGCAGCATCTTTGTATTGGTTCAGTATGAAATCACAGCTGCTAAACTCTGTAAACATTAAACATTCGCAATTGAAATGTGTCATGGGCATCCTTGGATATAAAATAATTTTTTTTATAATGTGCCTTTAGCTGTCTTGCAGCCACTTCAGAGAAACAAAACCTAAAAATGACTTTGACTACCAGCAGTTCTGTTTGCCCACTCACAACAAAGGTAATATGTAAATAGAGGGTTTTTTCCCCCCTCATTCTGCTCTTTGAATATATTCCAGATAATTTCAAGCCATGCCAGCCCGCATGTTTTAGAGCTAATTGAAAGGCAAATCTGTTCTGCTGCAGTAACCAAGGCAAAAGAAATTTTCTCATGAACTGCAGTTTCTAAACTAATTTCATGTCAAATCTTGGCTCAAATGTTCAACCTGCGTGCCCCCAAACAGGCTTTGGCTCCTGTAGAAAGATCAATATAGTCCAGCTCCTTACTGCTTAAAATATTGATCCCTTTGGGGGACGGTACCACGTGGTGCTGGCAGGATTTCTTACCTGAAGCCGGGTTTGCTTGGCAGATGCTCTCTGGGCTGGTGTTGAGTGTTGGGGGGGGATGAAGTTATTTACCCTTAATGGAAAGATTTTGCATTCGGTAATTTGAGGCCACTGGAAGAAACCAGTTTGTGGTTAAGTCATAAAAGCTTCAAGCTCTTATTATATTTCTCCTTTCAGCTCTTCATTCAGTGCCACTGAAATAGCAATCCTGTAATCACCCTAAAACAATAGGCTGGAGATATTTTGGGCAACTGCTGACTGCTTGGAGAGATGCTTTTTCAGAGGCTTCCTTGGGAGTCAGAATTTCACCCCTGGTTTCTTACCCGAGACCTCCCTTTAATTGCGAGGTTGTAATTAATGCAGCTGGCTCTGCAGCACGAGGGCTGCTCTCGGGTTCGTAGCCCTGCAATTTTGGGCAGGAGCAGCCCCTTTGCTTTCCACCCGGTTGTAGTTTTGTGTAAAGCATCCAAATCTTGTTTTTTTAAACCACAGATAGAAGGTTTAATTTGTGGCGTGTGTTCTGGCTTATTCCCTCTGTCTAATTCCCGTAGATGACAAAGAAATCGCTGGGTTGACCAAGTCTCCTGCTCCTGGCCAAGCCCTTGAGCATCATCCTTGCTGCTCAAGCCCAACGAGGGTTTTTTCACAGGCATTATTATTTTATTCCCTTTTCCCTTTAGTGACCTGTGCTGACTTCAAACCAAAATTTTGACGTTTGAGGTTGGTTTTGCTTGATCTCATCCCTGAGATAATTTTTTTTTTTTCCTTGGGGAAGTTTGAGTAGTACCGGTCCAGTCCTTTGTGCCGCCTCCTCCCTCCTTCTCAGTTGTGCAGCTACAAAAATCCTCCTGGCTACAGCTCTTCACCTACACCACCTGTCTGGATCTTATAAATTGATAATTATAAGGAATTGTATTTATTTGGTGGTTTCCAGCTCCTAGCAATGAGGTGTGCCCGTGTTGTGTGGCAGCATCCTGAAAACCAGAGGTCTGCTTTTAATTTTATATCTGTCAACAGGCATAGACCTCCTTGTCTAGCGGGAGGGAAATAAGTTCTCTCTTTTTTCCTTTTGTCTGCTGAAGATGCAGATGTTGAACCTTAAAAAAAAAAAAAAAAAAAGACATCTATTTGCAGAAGACTGTGGGGGGGCTTGGGGGGGGAAGATGCGTCTATGAACCAAAACATTGAGCTTCCCTATTTCTGCACCAGAGTTTGCCCTTGTAGGGTTGGGACATCATGTTGGTTTCTCTCAAGGCATATAATTGTAAGGTAATTTTCATAGAATCATAGAATGTTTTGGGCGGGAAGGGACCCCCAGAGGTCACCCAGCCCAACCCCCCTGCAGGAGCAGGGACACCTTGAACCACATCAGGTTGCTCACAGCCCCGGCCAACCTGGCCTGGAATGTTCCCAGGGATGGGGCCTCCACCCCCTCTCTGGGCAACCTGTTTCAGTGTTTCACCACCCTCAGGGTAAAGAATTTCTTCCTTAGATCCAGTCTAAACCTACCC